TCATATTTCAATTAGATATCTGAGGGAATTTATAAGTACAGTTATAAAATGCAGTTGATCTTTTTGATCTCAGTACCAATTAGTAAGCTATTTGTGAATTTTTTTAAAAAAAAATAGTTCATGTTCAAATAAAGTCTTTTATTTGATTTTTTTTTCATTTATCCAAACAGGAAGTAATTACTTTTTAATCACATGGTGCATATCCAAAGAAAGAGAAGATTTAAAAGAATCGCCTTTAATGTTGGAAGATTCTGGGCGACATCTTCCTGCAAATGAAAAAGGAAGCTTAAAGGAAGCTGCTTTTCTGCTCCGAAATATAAAAGAAAATATAATACAACGTAACCCAGAGGAACTAAGTCATCACTGTGTCCTTTTAACAGCCAGTCCTACCACATATACCCATTTTATTCCCACTATCCTTTCATCTTTTGCACCTCATCTCTTTAATAATGGAAGAGCACCATGCAGGCAGGACCCTAGACAGGGTAACTTGACAAGTTACTACAGGTAGTCCTCGACTTATAGCAGTTCATTTAGTGACTGTTCCAAGTTACATCACTGAAAAAAGCGACTTGTGGCCATTTTTCACACGTACAACTGTTGTAGCACTCCCACGGTTACGTGACCGAAGTGCAGGTGTTTGTCTACCATCCCTACTTATGCCCGTTGCAGCGTCCCAGGATCATGCAATCATCTTTTGAGACCCTCTGACAAGCAAAGTTAAAATGGGGAAGCCAGGTTCCCTTCACAAACACGTTACTAACTTAACAGCTGCCAACGATTCACTTAACGACCGTGGCAAGAAAGGTTGCAGAACGGGACAAAGCTTGCTTTAACAAACGCCTCGCTCAGCAGCAGCAATTTTGGCCTCCATTTTGGTCGTTCAGTTTGTCAACCTGGTTTGTTAGGCGACTCTGGCTTCTCCATTGATTTTGCTTGTCAGAAGGTCGCAAAAGGGTCCCGGGGATGCAGCAAAGGTCATAACTAAGAGCCAGAGGCCAAGCACCTCGGTTTTAATCCCTTGATCAAGGTCATACATGTGAAAAACGGTCACCAGTCACTTTTTTCAGTGCCTTGGTAACACTGAATGGTCATTAAACGTCGTATGTCGAGGACTACCTGTATTCTATGGGAGAAGGGAAGAAGGCCCAGGAGGCGTCCTCTTCTCCTAATCCTTTCCCCGAGAGGCTGCCCCGCACGCCCCGCCACAACGGTCGCAAGCGTGAAAAATGGTCACCAGTCACTTTTTTTTTGTCCAGTCATGTCACTTTTGAACCGTCACTAAACGAGCCGGAGTGAAGGGTGGGGAAACGCCTCGGGCTCCATCCCACCTCAAGCTGAACCAGACGGGGCCCAGCGCGGCCCTCAAGCCGACTTCAATCTCCAAGGAAAGGCCCGGCCCCCTCGCCCCCTTTCTCTCCACCCCGCCATGCAAGGGACCCAAGGCGACCACCCGTACCGGAAGTAACTAGAAGGCCGGCGGAAGTGCAGGCCGCTGCCTTTCTCTCTTGTCGGTTGCTCAGCAACGCCCGCAGGAGATTTGTGGAGGTGGGGGCGGGAATCCTGATTCCTCCAGGCGGTTCCTTCCAGGCTAGAAAGTATCCGCTCCGGGAAGAAAAAAAAAAAACAGGAAGTGAGAGACATTTCCGGAAGGCCCACCCTGCCTTTTCATTGGTCCTTTCCCTTCCGCTTTCTGTCCTCGGGCTAGCTCTGCGCGAGATCGCCCCTAGCGGTCGTCTTGCTGCATGACCACTCTTCTCCTTTGATAGTCTTGTAGGGAAGCTGATGCTGGAAGTTTAGGGAGGATATAGAGCGGGACAGGTGCAGGTCGTCCTCGATTTACAACAGTTTTCTTAGTGACCGTTCGAAGTGGCAACGGCACTAAAAAAAAGGGGGCTTCTGATGACCCTTTTTCACACTTACAACCACGTTAACATCCCCAGGGTCACGACTTGTACGTTCAGATTCCTTGACAACTGACTCACATTTATGACGGTTGCAGGGTTCCCGGGGTCATCATGCGATCGCCTATTTTGCTACAGCAATTAATTTGCATTTCAAGTGTGAGAGGCAGACGACACAGGCTCATCCTCAGTGAGAGGCATTTCAAGTACCCTTAAGGAGCCAGGGAGGTTCACATACTGACATGCAAATCTGGAATTGGGGAAAGACTGGATTTGAACCGAGATCTTGCCATGTACTACTCTGGTGGGTCAAACCACCCGGGACGGATCTGTACATTGCTACAGCCTTATGAAGTTAAAGTTAGGTATCCCAAAGCTGGTTTTTTTTTCCCCAAGAGGCAACTGGACTTTCTGGTTTTTCCTTGGAAGACCTTTCGCTTCTCATCCAAGAAGCTTCTTCAGCTCTGACTGGATGGTGGGGAAATGGAAGGATGGACGATGGATCCAGTCCCCACCATCCAGTCAGAGCTGAAGAAGCTTCTTGGATGAGAAGCGAAAGGTCTTCAAAGAAAAAAAAACCAGAAAGTCCAGTTGCCTCTTGAAAAAAAAGAAAAGCACCTTTGGGACAACCATGATCTGGAGGACTGAGCATCTCCATAGACATCCAAGGGCGATTTCCCCCCTCCCTGGCTTCCAAATCCCTCGGGATTTCTTTTTTCTTTTTTGAAAATTTTATTGATTTTTAAAAACAAACATAAACAAACACAACATAGAACATAAAAACATAAAACATCTTTTTTGAAAGCAGCATAATCCCGGGTTACATCTCTTCGTACAGACACAAATTCAAGTTCATGCTCATTTTTATATTCCATTCCATATCTTATTATTATTCTACATTTTCTATATAGCTTCTCCCCTCTTTTAACTTTCTTAATTTTATTTTATTTATTTCATCTCAATTCAAATCATTATACTTATATTCTTTGTCTGTCCTGTTTCAACTGTCTACTATCTTTTCTCATTGAACAAAATTTCTCCTGTGATCACTGATTGGAGTATGACGCCTTTATATCTTTCCCCTAAAATTATAACACTTAATATAATACATAACTTCCGTTCGGATTCTGCTTGGTACATTCTAAAACTACACACTGTATTTTAAAAAATGAAAAAATTAAAACAACAATCCATACCAATTCAATTATATCATTAATATTAATATTCATTTAAATCTTAACGTTTTACACATTACTTTTCAGATAAGTATCATACTTCTATGGGAACACTTATAAACTTTCCATAGTTGATTCCCCCCAACTTTATATTTTATAAAACATTGAGTAATTAAAATGTTCCCGTTCCTTCCTAATTCAATTCTCTCATTTATTTTATTTCATTTATTTTGTTCACAAAAGTTTCACTAAATTACGCTGACTATTTTATCCCACTTTTTAATCATACGTTGTTTCCAATTTTCTAACATTATTTCTATTACAAATATAACAATACAATCTTATGTACCTTCACAGAATCCCTTTTTCAATTAAATTTTCACCCATTATCTCTGAATAAGTTCTGTTTCTTTACATCTTGCTTCAAACTTTTGTAACTTCTCTTCCTTTCCTTCTTCCCTTTCTTCTTCTCTCTCCCCTTTTTACCCCCCTGTCTCTCCACCTCCATTTCCCTCTTCTGCATTCCCCTTTTCTGTTGCTTTCCAACTTTATATCCACTTTTCAAATTATTTTGAAATCCCCCTCGGGATTTCTGAGTGGCCTCCCATCCTTCGTCCCTTCCCAGTGCGCCTTTCTCCAAACGAAAGCGGCGGCTGGAAGGGGGCGACCGGGAGGAATTGCGACCGTCGCAGCTTCGCCCTCGGGCCCAGCAGGGACAAAAGAAGGCGGCGGTGGCGGTGGCCCCAGGAACACCCCAACACGGGTGGAGACGACGGTCGCAGCAGCAGAGTAGGAGCAACGCCCGTCGTGTGCGCCATCTTTCCTTCCCTCCTTTCCCTCAGTGGCCTTGAGGGCTGGGGTCCTCGCGCCGCTTCGGGTATGGGAGAGGGATGAGTGGGTCGCACGGCAAGAGGATCACATGACCGCTGGCGGGGACACAAGGGGTGGGGGGGCGGAGCAGGGTGGAGGCGGTGGAAGGAGGGAGAGGCACTTCGGATCTCTTCGGGTCCTGCCGGAATTGAGGGGCACTCGGGGTTGGGAAAAGCGGCTAAGGAGTCCCCTGATGGGGTCCACTTCTTTCTGCACCCCGGGCGGGCCTGTCAACAAGAGGCTCCCGGCTCGCTTTATCTCCAGGCAGAGAGAGGCAGGGGTGGACGGTAGATTAGAATAGATCTGGAAGGGACCTTGGAGGTTGTCTAGTCCAGCCCCCTGCAGCAGACCCTATCATTACTGTATACTATACCATACCATACCATACCATACTAAACTATACTGTCTATACCCCAAACTTGGCAACTATCATGTATATCATGTATCATGTATCTGATATTAACACAATTTAAAAAGTCCAGAAATATTTCACAAGAAGAGTTCTCCGCTCCTCTACTCATTGCAGAATATCTTATGCCACCAGACTTGAAACTCTAGACCTAGAAAACCTTGAAATACGCCGTCTTCGGTCTGATCTAAGTATGGTATATAAAATCATACATTGCAATGACTTACCTGTCAATGAATACTTCAGCTTCAGCCATAACAACACAAGAGCAAACAATAGATACAAACTCAAGGTAAACCGCACCAGACTTGATTGCAGGAAATACGACTTCAGCAACAGAGTGGTCAATGTCTGGAATACTGTACCTGACTCTGTGGTTTCTTCCCCAAACCCCCAAAACTTTAACCTTAGACTGTCTACTATTGACCTCACTCCCTTCCTAAGAGGCCATCCCTGTCCTATTGTTTCTTTTTATTTTTCTTATAAGTATCCATCTCATGTATTCAAAACTATGTTTATTCTTCTACCTGTATCTTGCAAGCGATTGGCAAATCAAATAAATAAATCAAATAAATAAATAAACTTTAAGACTTGTGGACTTCAACTCCTAGTCTAGTCTATACTGTACTATATATACTATACTACGCTATGCTATACTATACTACACTACGTGACACCATACCATACCAAACCAAACCAAACCATACCATACCATACCATACCATACCATACCATACCAAACCATACCAAACCAAACCAAACCAAACCAAACCAAACCAAACCAAGCTATACCTTCTATACCAGGGGTCCCTAAACTTGGCAACTTTAAGACTTGTGGACTTCAACTTCTTGTCTAGTCTAGTCTATACTGTACTATATATACTATGCTATGCTATGCTATGCTATGCTAT